CTTTCCTTATTATGATAAACTATAATGCTTGTACGCCTTTGTTATTATTATTACAAACTATATACTTATATAAAGAGAAATAACGCCATGACGCAATAAAACTAGCCTGAAGAGAATTTGGGGAAGGAGCCCAGTGCATGAAAAGTGAAAATTTGATTGCCAGTCAAGACTCAACTCAAGCCCACTATTTATCTGCATAACGTGTTGAGTTTTCTTTTTTCATTCCTAAGAATAATGAGCTTTTCCTTGTTGTCTGACAACATAAGTCTGAAAGAGCTTTTCCTTGTTGTCTTGAAAATTTGAAGGGTGAAATTCATAAAAATATCCTGAGTTTTCAAATAGTCTTAAATATACTACCTTATAATTGTTAGAATTTGACAGAATCAAATAAAAGATTTTTATCCTTTATTATTCTTCAAACTTTTAATGAAAACCAGAGAGAAGATTAAATCAGAAACAAAAGAAATCCTTACTTTCATCTTCATACAATCCTCGCTTGCCCATTTTCATTTTAAACCGTTTGTACAAATTTTACTAGAGACCTATATTCTTTTGTCTTGCACAAGGATGGAATGGCTTAAACTTTGGTCCTCCGTTTCTAGGGGTGGCCATGAGTCAAGCTCTTCACGAGCTATTCGACTTCGACTTGTAAAAAGTTTGATTCGGCTCAGTTTCAATTGAGCTCAAGCTCGAGTTCAAGCCCATATTACAGGCTAGATTAATAAATGAGCCAAGCTCCAGCTTAATAGAGCTCGACTCGTGAGGTTTGTAAGTCGACTCAAATAAAAAATATTTATATATATAATTTTAAATTTTTATAAAATATTTTTTTTCAGATCAAACTCGAGCCGAGCCAAGCCAAGCTCGAGCTTACGAGGTTATGACAGCTCGAGCTCAAAGTTTTAGCTCAAACCGACCTCGAGCTCGAGTTCGAGCCTTAAACTTACTAGGTGAGCCAAGCTCAAGCCTCATACTATTCAGGTCGACTCGAATTCACCCCTATCCGTTTCTACTCATCAACATGAATTCTATGCATTGATTGGTGATTTTCAGTAGTTGTCATTCAATCGTTGAGCTCCATGTGTTCATTTTTCGTGTAGACTGTTAACAAATTGTTTGACCTTTCAATGTCACGTTTTTATTTTGACAAATCCATATATAAACTCCCAACTCTCAGAAACAATTGTTCCAAACAATATTGCAAATAAATCCACATATAATACCAAAATTTTATAGCAAATTAAGATCAATCCACAAGCAAATCCACCATACAACAAGATTCATCCACAAGCAAAGCCATAAAATCAGTGTCTCTAAAATGATCCGAATCCTCAAAATCACAGCAAAATACAAATCCAACAACCTGAACATCTTAGCTACTCATATAATCAATGCACCTAAAAACTAAAAAGGGATGATCAAGTTCTGTTGCGGTTGCATAAACAAAAAGGAGGTATATTCTTTTAAAAGAGGTCCATCCTTTGAAATAGGATTTTTGAAATATTAAAACTTAGAAGAGGTTCATGAAACGGTAAGTAAAGTTTTACCGAAAGAGGATATGTTTAAGTAATGGGATCAGTCCACAAGTATATTTTAGTCAATTCAAAAAAGTTGGGGTTTGTTTAAATCTATTTATTAATCTCAAGGTATCATGTTTTAATTTGTGCTGAACAAGACATACATCCAATTAATAGATTTTTAGATACCAGAAAAATTTACAATTTTTTTTCAAAATTCAAAAAAAGTGGTAACCAATCAGAGAACATTCTTCAAAATTCACATGATTTTATCGGCCAAAGGCCCAAAGCTCTTTAGAAGACCATTGAGTCTGCATCTGCTACCCATAGAACATACAGCCACATACATCAGAAACATCTCAGTTGTCATTATGGAGATATTTCTGATACGCGAATGTAATGAAACCCATGTTTTCTAATCAATTTTTCTATCAACAGTACATTATAGCTGTACATCTTACAATATAAAATGGCGATGTTGATTTCAATTCAAAACGGGTAGAGCGAGGGTAGAGAGTAGTGGACAGGAAATTGGTTTGACTGTAGTGTGCTGTCAATTTGTGTGGATAGCATTTGGACAAGAGGTGTTGAATTTCACAGCTGTGTTTGTACACTTTTGTTCGTAACAAATCCACAACGTTGATTTCAATTCATAAAAAGTTTATTTATGAACACTACTAACCAGGATCTTGAACTATTACCCTACCCCCAAAAAAATAAATAAATTAAGGATCTTGAACGAAGTGGTGGGCCTGAGCCATGTACGGACGTAACGTCTCGGATTTTGACATGAATGGGCCGTTCTCAAACTCGAATCTACGTCACCACGCTTGTCTTGTCAACCCCACATTTGATATTTGATGGTTACACAGGAAGTAGCCCTATTCATATTTATAGTAAATAATAATAATAATAATAATAATAATATAAACGCCTTTTTACACCAAATTAAAATCATACCTGGAAAATTGCTTAATCCGATAAAAGCAGTTTGGCTATTTTGGAGCTAATTCTAATCCTAAATTAATTATAAAACTATGGCCCCATGAGGGACGCATGAGAGAGAGAGAAAGAAGATCCTAAATGCTAATGGAGGGAAATCCCTGTAGAAGCCAAAGGCCAAGCAGCAGGAAAAAAGTTCTAATTCCTGAACTAATAAGAAAAAAATAAAACAGTTTATAACCATCATCTTAGAACCCTAAAATAATGTATTCAAATAAGATAAGATCTGTTTATTTGATGGACGAAATCACATATTACAACGCTTGGTACCAATTGAGTGGTGGGTGCAATTCAGATGTAAAAGAATATGTACCTTCTGTCTATTCCACATCATGTACTAGCATCAGTACCTTAGTACCCCACTGCTTTCAAGTCTTCCTGGTACATCAGTTTTAAGATGTGAATCAAAGTGTCGGTGTTAATTCTTTAGTGTAATGGTACAAAAGTTTTTAAGATAAATGTTTGTCTTGGTTACTGGTGAGTGGTGAAGCTTCGCTTTCAATACTATAATATGATATTTGTCATATGTGAAGAAGCTATAATTGCAAATATCAATTGAAGAGGTCAAAGGGGTCTTCCATATTGTTTTTCATTTTAACAAACAGAATCAGTTAACCTCCTTAAAAGGGCAGTTTTTTCTTTCTCAGTAGGAGCTTTTCAATTAATTATCTTTAACGGATATGGCAGATAGGTGTGATGTAGTCCATATTGGTTTTTTCTTCTTCTTTTTGGAAAAAATCATGAATGTTAGCTCTAATATCTTATATTCTACAACTAGGCTTTGAAGCACAAAATAACTAAAGTTAATTGAGAGGCTCAAGGGATTAGACTGCAAATAGATCTCATCAAATCAGATATATATATATATATATAAAGATATCTAAATTTGATCTATTTTTGTTTGGACTCAAATCAACTCTTATCCATCAAATTTACGCGGTTTGGATTGAAATCAATCTGATATTGGATATTGAATGCAGTTAATAAATTAAACTGAAAGTGATCAAACTAGTATATATTATCAATAAAATGAACTAAAAAGTGATTTTAATATTGGACATACCAAATGTGTTGAAAATAACTTATATAAGACTTATGTCACTTTAGTAAATATATATATATACAAAATTCAAACAACTTTACAAATAGATAGCAATATGAATTTCATGTGGATATACACACATACATTCAAACATCATCGGATAGGAGTGGATTCATATTTGATCTAATTATAAACAGATTGAACTCGAATCAATCTTGACCAGATTTCAATTCAAATGTCTGTCGAGTACCATTTGCAGCTCCCACAAAGGATTTGCAGGGTACTACTATAACACTAGCATTTCCTTTATCTTTCCTTTCAAGGTAAATGAAATGCATGCTCAAACACAAAACCCTTCAAAATAGCCCCCAGTCTCGCCCCAAATTGTTAGCCAAACACCCGAGTCCTGTCTTCAATTTTAGTTGGCACAAGACAATCTCTCTCTCTCTCTCTCTCTCTCTCTCTCTTGACAAAGCTTTGATACTTATGGGTCACTGTTAAATTGCTCTTTTGCTTTTGTTTACAAAGAACATGCAGGTTCTTTGTGCACAGGTAGTCTGAAAGAAACCCCAGCCCTCCATGAACTGACAAGGAATTCTAGAAAAAGAGCAAACTCTGTCGATTCTGCTGACTCAGCTAAAATTATTGGGTGATTACTCAGCTTGAGTGATCAAGCTGAACAAATGGTACGATCACTACCCTGTTCACTATTCATTGGCCCAAAATTTTGAAAAGCTTACAGCATCAATTTCTGAACCATTGAGTGATGAACACAATATGGCTAATACAGTTTACTCAGAGCGGTCGCTTCTGCATGATCATCACCAAAGTTTTTGTATCTTTGCAACGGTAAATCTCCAACACTCTATTATGTTGTCGGCCCCCATCTCACAAGAAAAAACGGAGTTCTGAACCCATCATGTCTCTGTGGCTGAAACTTCATTTTATTTCTACCACACCCTTGAGAAAGGTGAATAGTACTGTAGTAACAGGCAGAGGATCAGGGTCTGACACGTGAAGGATAGAATAGAACAAAGATGGGAGAGGGTCATCATCCTCCTGATAGGCAGAGGACAAAATCAGAATAAATTGTATATCAAAATCCAGACCACTTGGGCATAGTTATCTTGGATCTTCTTTCCCAGTGAATAACCTTTACATTAGATTACGCGAATTTGCTGCAATTAGCAATAAGAGAAACAGAATCCCATTGAAAGACGACAAGGTATCTTAATTAATTTCATAGTTTCGGCGGGGGGGAGACTGGGAAGGGGAGGGTTTTGTTTTCTTGCCAAATCTATTATGTGGGTATCATAGTATCTAATCCCACTTGCTAGTAAATTCTCATGGAAATCCACCTTGTTGTTGATGTTATAAAGGAAAGAAAAATGACACAAAAAATATAGAAACAAGGAAAGAAAGAGACCGTCCTTTGATACCCGATTCCCCTTCCCTCTTGTGGTTGCTTGTCCTGCTTCATCTTGTGGCTCCTATAGTCACAGTCACAGCGTATTGGCGTATTTACTTCTACCCTTTTGGAAAAATATATTCGCCAACTGGAAGGTATCCATCACGCTTTCCTCCGGTTTATAAGGAGCAAGCAGGCAAGGCAATCTCTGGCTCAACAAACCATCCTTGACTGCAGTCTCTTCTCCCTGGATACGTCTTTTCTTCTCTTCGCTTTCGTGTCTGACTCTTTGTTTCCATCTCTGTATTTGCATTTAGGCTCTCCCACCATTTTCCAGACTCCAACGCACGTCAAACACTTTGCCATCCACAACTAATTACTTGCCAACCAACAACCATATTACCTACTTCTTCTAGAGTCTAATTTTTTCCTTCATCCTTCACCAAACTAATGGCATCGAGCTCCCTGCGTAGCTCAAGCTCATCATGGACACCCAAACAAAACAAGTTATTCGAGAAAGCCCTGGCCTTATATGACAAAGACACCCCAGACCGGTGGCACAATGTAGCCAGAGCTGTTGGTGGGAAATCTGCAGAGGAAGTGAAGAGGCACTATGAGATCCTTATAGAGGATCTCAAGTATATCGAGTCTGGCCAGGTTCCGTTCCCTAATTACAGGTCTTCTGGAAGCCACAGCAAAGGCATCGGCGATGAAGAGCAAAGGTAGCATGCCTGTGACTCCATTACCTACTATTCTATCCGAACAAATTACTTTTTTGGTACTTTGGTTCCTGGTCCCAGTTACCTAATGTTCCATTCTCTCACCATGATTTTATAAGATATTCTAACTGATCAGTAGAAGTGATCCGTCTTCCTCCCGGGCACAGACATTCAGGGAAATGCCTGAGGAGATCAAACAGTGTCGTCCAAAAAATCCCAGCCATCATCCTGCTATTATAGATGCAGCCTGGTGGGTCCATGGGCTAAAAGCCTAAAACAGATCCCTCAAATCCTACCTTTTATGGTCCATCGAATGTTTCAGTTCGGCCATGGAACCAACTCTATCCCCTTACTCTTCCCAATATACTCAACCAACCAGTGTTTATGTGTATCAGCTATCAACAAAAGAAACAGGTCTATCCACAGTGCATTCAATTTTCTATCCTCTCCTTCCCCCCGTCAGATTTGATGCCATTCGATCATTCACCAGGGATTACACACGTGTACTTGGCTCTAACTTAATGCTTCTAGCTCCATGTGTACAACAACCTCCAAGCCTCCTAGGTTAGGTCCAACAAGAATAGTTCAGTAATCTTTTTCCTGTTCATGGTCCTCTTTCTCTCTCTAATCTTTTTTTATTTTATTTTATCATCTCTCTCTCTCTCTAATAAGCAACTTTATTATCTGTAGTTGTTATTCAAGAATAATGCTTTTCCAATCTAGATGGGACATTGTAAGGGTAATTAATTTTACTTTTGGTTCTAACGCTTTTTTCTTGTACAGGCTGTTGAAGTACCTAAAACTTCAGTGAAGTCGAACAGTCATGCTCATGCATCTATAGTAAAGTAAATCTTATCACTTATCAGCAAATCTCTATATAAGAAAAAGCAGATGCAGATAGAAGCGTGGAAAAGCTAATCACTCTGCCGTGATTCTCCTTTTCTTTTCTTTTTCTTCTTTTTTTCCTTTTTATCTTTTCTTTCCGTTATTAATCTCTGAAAGTCCTTATTCGTACTATATATGTGGTTGGAACAAGGATGAACCATTAGTTCAATGGTCTCTCCTTATTCCTTTGTCTCTGTATTGTAACAAGGTCTGTAATGCAAATATGCAGTATTCTGTACTTCTGAATGCAAATTCCATTTTCTAAACTAAAATCAAGCAAACGAAACCGAAAAGAGAACCATAAGTATTATATGATCAAATTCCTACGGTGGCAGATTATGAGAACATAATCAAATTTACATAGTCTACTGCAATTGATTCTCCAATTCAAAGGTGCTAGCGGTCAAAATAGCTATCACCATGGATATCAAAAGCATATTCTTTTTGCATAGATATCAGAACAGTAAAAGCAAACAAAAATCTAAAAATTAGAGATTGCACAGAACAAGCGATAATCAAAACAGAGGAACAATGGAGTATGGATCGAAGGCCGTCCTAGTAAATTAAAATGGCTGACCTGGTACATTCTCTCTGGGATCAAGAACTTTCCTCTCGACTCTCGAGTTCGTCCACAGAATGCGATGCTCAAGAATGAAAACATAGTTCCTGTGGATGAGGAGTAGTCAACAATCAACATCCACCAGAGGCGGGAAACTTTAATCGTCTTTCAAATTAAAAAATAAAAAAATAATTAATAATTAAACAATAAGGCGATTTGTATGACGTCGGAAGTGTATGATACCGGAAGAACTTTGACCGATCAGAAAGTTGGAAGTTGAAACTTGAAAGTTGGAACAGGTGGTTTAGAGAATAAAACCATTGGCCGTTGTACCGGTTCAAACAGTCAGCTCAGCTCAGGCGACAGACCATTCTCACTTTCTCAGATCTCAATTTCTTTTTTCTTTTTACTTTTTTCTTTTTGATTTGTGGGAATTAATCAACCAGATAAGAATTAAGAAAGCGAACTAGGGGAAGGTAAAAATTTGGATGAATCAACAGTCCTCAATCTCATTGAGAGGAATCTAACACTAGCAACCTTTGATGCAGGGGTTCGACTATGATACCCGAAAAACTTACGGCCTATCATTCTTTCAACGGGTTGTCATGATTCTCTCCACCAAGGCACTGATACCTATCCAACGGCTGATAATCGATACCTCGTCACATGCCACATGATGCCAGGCTGCCAGCACCCTCATTTAGTTATCAGTTATCACTAGGCCCTTGTGTAAAATTCTCGTGTGAAAGCGAAACCGGTAAATATTCTATTTCTAATATCCCATAAGGCCATAACCCATTTGCTTTGCTTGGGACTTTCAGCTGGATTACTTCCTCTATTTGTTCCCTTATCTGACAATGGTGTTCAGAGACAAGCGTGACTGTGCCTGCGTTTTGGTTCTATGCTTTAGTTTTGAGTGAAAGAAAAGGGAGTATTTTTCTGTCCAGACACCGACCTGAGCCCATATTAGGGCTTGCAGATTTTTGTGCCACCTTTGGGCTCAATTCTTTAGGCCTGGCCCAATACAATATTTTGTATTATATTAAATATAACTTATATATTATATATATTACATAAAATGAATTTAAATTTGTAGGCCCATGAACCTGACCTGCCTCATCCCACTTCCCACGCCTGACTTATATATCAAGCCCAGAGTGCATGCTGGACCAAGTCTGGATTCATGGTTCACGCCAAGTACTGCCTTGATTTTAAAATATTATTTTTATTTTTATTTTAAATAAATTTATTTTTCCAAAAATGCTTTTAATTAAAAAATTGGGATTAGAGTCAACTTTTATACCCAATGGGGAATTGGGGATTAACGTCTGAAACATTTCAAAATCAGGGTCAATGATGGAAAATATAGTCTCCGCCCTCTTGTCATTCCTTATCCTATAGCATAAGCTTTTTTCGTACCCACCTCAAAAAGACTAAAGCTATGTTACGATCCATTTCTCTCGTATTAGTAGTATGTGATGTTAATGTGAGGTATCCCACGTTGGTAGCATGGGATGCTGTTGTAGGATATATGTGCTTGGGTTCCCTTCCTCTAACAACTAGCTTTTAAGGATGAATTCTCTTAAGTCATATAAGAAATGGTATCTGAGCCTACACTATGCCTCCTAGTTGCAATTTAGCATTGGGCAGCCTCACCGTTCAACACTATATATTGCACTCGTTTTTACAAATGAATTAAAAAAACTTTTTTCTCACCATGAAATGAAACATATCACTAAGCTAGCAACTCTACTTATTTTTTCTTGATTTACTTATACCTTCGCTTGGATTTTGGTCAAATACTAAGATTTCTCATAGGGTTTACTTGTTAATTTATACCCCATGTGGCCGCGTAACAATATGGAGTTTTGTTAATTGAAGAGAATGAATCAATAAAAATGGGAATTTTATTAAAGTGCCCCCATTTGATAAAATCTTAAAGGGTGTTTGGTTTCATTGCCATTGTCAATACAAATTTTGTGTATAAATCCTAATACAAGAAAAGTGAAGACAAATTCAAATAAATTGATTTTTTATATATATTTGAAATAAATGAGATACAAATTCTTTGGATTTGAATTCTCTTACAAAAGAGATAGAACTTCTAATTCTCTCTCAATGGTACTCCTTGCAACTTGAGGATTTGGATTTGAGTTGAAGTCGAGGGTCAAATGACGTGCTCTCGTACTTCAAACTGTGATAGAGATTGCTTCCTTCAATTTGGCTTTGGAAGCTTGTTTAACATAAGGATTCTACGAGATTGCTTCTTGTAACTCGGGGATTTTGATTTGAGTCAAAGCTAAGGGTCAAATGACATGCCCCCATACTTCAGAAAATGATGGAGATTTCTTCCTTCTGGGTTTTGAAATCTTGATCAAGAAAATGATTCCACAAGACTTCAAGATTGTTATTGCTTTGCTCTCCAAAAGATGGTGTATGTGCTTACTTCTTCCCAAGAGCCTTCTTATTTCATTTAGTGTCTTCTTATTGACCCCCAAAGTCCCTTCCCTCTTGATGAGAACCTCTATTTATAGATTTCCTGGTCTAATCTCTTAATCCCATTAATTAAGGATTTGGTTAGCTCTCTTAACTCTTTTTAGAGAGTGAAAGGTTGTAATTACTATCATTATTGGATAGAATAATTTATCATCCATTATTGTCTCTTCAATCATTAGATAATTTCCATCTATGGGAATATATGCATTGATTAACTAGATATTTGATTGGCTCTAATTACCTTTCATAAATAAGAAAATAGGCAATTTATCGTTTGTGGAGATAATGATTTTTAATCAATTATTCTCTCTTTAATTATTGACTAGATTTCCATCTTTTGGACTTGAGATTAGTTGGATTATTTTCATAAATCAATAAGATTTGTAATTCAAACTTGAATTTTAGTTTGACTTCAAAGTGGATCCCACATGGACCTTTCCACCATCCTAATGGATTTGTAACAAAAAAGGCCAAATGTTAGGCCCATGCACATATTTGAGAGTATGGGGTATGGTCCAAATTGAATGACCCATACTGAGGCCCATTAGAAAATTTGAGTTTATGGGGGTAGAGCCCATTTTAGGAGCCCATGAAAATTTTAATGTATATAATTTTTTTTTTCTGAAAAATGGTGCCAGGTCAAATCCACCTCGACATGCCTTTTTTTCAAAAAAATGATGTTTGTTTAACACATTTTTCAATAAATGTCGAAAAATGACAATGCCTCGTAAATCAAAATTTGAACGGTGTGAAAAATGTTGAAATTGTTGTTTCCCCCCATGTGCCATCATTGCCCCCAATGGCTCTATGACATGGCACCTACATGAATCCAACGTAGCATGAACTCAAAATGATAATGTGCATTACATTGCACTAAACATTCACGTGAAAGGATGGTCGAATGAACAAAACATCGAGGGTTTGTCTAGTCATGGGAAACCACCGATCACCACCTATACTACCTATTGATTTCTCACTAAAGGTTTTTTGTTCTTCATTGCCACTGCTTGACAGTATCTCACCAAGGGTTTTTTGTTCTTCATTACCACCACCTGCCGCTATCTAACTATTGCTACTTAAAAGACGATTAGAAACCACCGATAAGTCATGGGAACCAGTTAGAGATGGCAATTTTTCCTATCCCCGATGAGCTCAAGGATGGGGATTATTTTGGCAAGGCGAGAATAGGGATAGGGATTAATAGGAATCCCCGATTGGGGTCGGGGATGGGGATTGAGGTCCCCGCTCCATTCTGACGTCGATTATATATATATATATATATTAAATGTTATTTATATTAAATATATATTATTATATTATTTATATTATATATATCAAAACATATTTAAAACATCATTTATAATTTAAAAATTTTATTTATTTTAAATAAGTTTATTTTTCAAAAAAATATTGTTATCGAAAAAAATTTCGGGGATTTGGGTCCCTGCAAGGAACCCATCCCCGTCGGGGATCGTGGATGGGTGATAAATTTTATCCCGACGAGGATTGGGGACGGGGATGGGGTTAATTTCAAAATTGGGGTCGGGGGATGGGGAATATGATCCTCGCCCCGAACCTGCCCTCTTGCCATTCCTAAGAACAGTTTAAATGTTGTGTTCTTAGGGTTTATTTTCTTTTCTCTTTTGTTATGAACATGTTTAACATTCCGAACCCACCCTCTTTTTCGACAAGTATTTCTCATTCTTTTTGTTTGGTTTCGAGTTCATCCAAATAGCATAAGGGTTGTTAGATTGTCATCAAGCACATGGTGGTATTGGATTAAAAGAGATGCACGCCCAACACTATATCGACTACTTGTGCATGAAAAACAGTAAGGCTATGTTTGGTTTGAAGGAAAAGGTAGGGAAATGAACTTAGGAAGCGAAAGACAAGGAAACCAATACAAGGTTTGTAAGGCTCTAATTGGTTTGTGGGAATATTTGGGTGGGATGGGAAAGTGTAAAAATTTACACTTGCATTATTTGGTTACTATATGGAAAAATAATGGGAAAAGCATTGTGACGAGCTACTTCTTCGCTATTGGGTGTTTTGTTTCACCAAGAGGAAGACGAACAGTAGTTCACCTACGGAAAGCGAAGACGATGAACAGTGTCGTTGGTCACCATTGGGAAGCGAACAATGCCGTCGGAGATTGTAGTTCGAACTAATAGGTAGTAGCAGACCGTTTAGACTAAAGAGAAACATAATTTTCCTATTTGGAAGAAGAAGAAAAAGGAGGAAGGGGAGTGACTATTCATCATCTCCTACCTTTGGACTAACAGGTAGCAGCAGACCGAACCCCCATCTCTCTGTCAAACGTCTTTGTCGGCGGCAAGGGAAGAAGTACACCAAAGTAGATCGTGTTTCTTGTATCGTTTTCAACATAAACCAAACACTCTCAAGGCTACAGTCGATAAACTTGGTTTTCTTAATGAAATCTCTCTAAACCGGCCACAAATCATCATTCTTGTCTAAAGAGAGGTACTCTGAAATCGAATCGAGCTCAGATCTCCTCTGTACACCAATTGAGTTCAAGCCAGACATAGAAGGTATTGCTCTGCCCGATTCGCCTTAAACTTAGGAAGAGCTACTAGAGTCGTTGGTGAAATCTCATTGAACTAGCTCCTGCTTTTAGGTTCGAACGGGGAAGGGGAGGTAGTTGATCTCCGATTATAACGTGAAAGGCATTGGTTCTCTCTCTCCTTTGTTCGTTGTCGCTGGTTGCCTCCTCTGTTCATCATCGCTGGTTGCCTCCTCTGTTCGTCGTCGTTGGTTGCCTCCTCTGTTCGTCATTAATGGTAATGGTGCTTTCTCAAATTTTACCACTGGGGTTACACAGTTTTGGTGCGACCCCAAATCCATGATTTTGGGATCTGACATCCCACATTTTTCTCATCCCATCCCTTTGTTTCACTTAAAACAAATAAGAGAAAAAGGAATATTTCCTTTTCTCATCCCTATCCCACAAACCAAACGGAGCCTAAAGGTTTCCCCACCTTTCTCTACATTTTCCTTCAAACCAAACATATCTTAAGGAAAATTCCGTTATCAAACATCATAAGCTGAAAAACGTTTTGTGCTTGTCCTACATGGAAAAAATGGTTCCAAATAGTTTAACACCAAAAAACGGATAGACGTGTCATTGGGCGTGGGCGTTTTATTGGGTAAATCGGGCTTAAAAAACACACACGTTACGAAACACCATCTTAATATTATCTTCAAAATAAATGTATTTGACAATAGTGTTTCCCACATCTAAACATCTAAAAATCAAAAAAAAATAAATAAAGTAAACTCACAATCATTGGATTAGTTTTAAGTTTGAAAGAGACAATCTAAAAACACAATATACAGGGAGAAGAGAGAGAGGTGGGATAAGCATAGAAAATCACCGTGAGAGTAGGCATGGCAACGGGCAGGACACCCCCTCCCTGTCCCCACCCCATAGTCAATGTAATCTACCCCATCCCTGACTGCTTCAAGATAATCACCTAAAATTAAATTTATTTATAGATGTTTCACAAATAGGATTATAAAAATTTAGGAATATTTTAGGAATCAGATTATGATAAATTGTAGATATTTTAGAAATGGAATTATGGGATCTTAGGATTTTAATAAATTGGAAAAAACTTAGAAATATTTTAAAAACCAGTATTAAACCTAGGGATTTTTATTAATTTACCACCGGGTTTAGGGCGGGGTCAAATTCTGTCCCCGATTCGGGGCAATTTTTCCCATTCCCACCTCGTCCTCGTTTAAGATCAGGGAAAACCCGCCCCATTTGGAATAGGGCCATGGTTTTACAAGAAAAATTGCCATCCCTACTTGAGAGAGCTTGGAAAGGTATAATGTAAAGGGACTAGGAGCGTTTGGTTGGGTTAAGGGAGAAAAGAGAGGTTGTTTAACATATCCATTTTTGTTTTAATATATTAATAGATTAATTGATAAGAATATTGTGGGTCCAAATGTAGTAGGCAGGATAGATGAGCACACTAAGTAAGCACCTAATAGCTGTGTGACAACTATCCTAGCTAATTTGCCTTTCATCATAACGTTTTTGTTCCGTTAGGAGTTCTCTATTGTTTTGTTATTTGTGTCAAAATAATTAAAAACAAAAAAAAAATAATAAAAAGGAAAACCTGTCCCATTTAATGCGCCTTTCTCTCCACCCTTCTGCCATTTAGGATTATCCCACCTCTGGACCTTCAGTCGCTGCAACTGGTTGGTTGGGGTAGGCACTCAACTTGGTTGGGTGGAGTGGATTCAACTATTTGCATTGTGTTTTTTCAAGGACCCTTAAAATAAAAATTACATTTAATTCTATTAATTGCAATCTTTTTTCATCCTCTATTATCTTCAGAAGTTTCGAAACTAATTTTTCCTCTATTGTTATTTTGTTTATAATAGATAGCTTTGATTCAGTGTATAAATTATAAAATTTTTAAAAATAAAGAAGATTCCTGCACATGGAGAACTTTAGTAGTAATACATATAAACTAGCAGAGGGGCCCTGCTTCGTAGGGCTGGAATGGAACTGTCAACCCGTTGACTTGATTTTTGGCCAAAAACCGTTGAATCGGTCAACGACTCATTGACTCGAGTGGTCGAACCATCAACTCGTTGACCCATTGAATGGTTTTTGGCCTTTTGTTTTATTTTTTTTTAATTTTTGTTGTCAAAACGGACCGTCCATTCGAACCAGACGGTTGAACTATCGATTCAAAAATTGGTGGCAAGAACAATTCCATTTTCGGGTCATATGAGTCACACAGTCGAATGACATAACATCATAGTTTTTAAAACCAACCCGGAGACCAAACCGGTTAGGGGTCTGGTTACCAAGTCAAACGGGTCGACTGTTCGAATCGAACAATTTTTTTTATAATTGAAACCCTCTTTATAATTGAAACTTAAACAAGAAAAGGTCAGAGATAGAGAATCCAATAAGTTCCAAGTACTTTCAACTCCCAACACGTTTAGATTTTCATTTTTCATGATTTTTTTGTTTTTAATTATTTTGACACAAACAATAAAACAATAGATAACTCCTAACGAACAAAAACGTTAAGATGAAAGGCGAGTTAAGTGGGACAGTTGTTACCTAACGTGCCAATTACATCCGGACAAAGATATTATATATTATTAATAAATATATAATTAATATATTATAAAATACCTGTGCTTCGGATTCAGGTCCAGACTTCAGGCTTTAAATAGAATCGGGCTCAGGATCGGATCTGGTCATTTTCTGAGGCAAAGCCCGGCCCGTGAAGAGGTTATAGCCTTATAGGGTCTGCCGGTCAGGCAGAGGTTCGGTCATTGACATCTCGTTAAATCTGGTCGGGTCAATGCAACTCGCACCAAACCCGACGTGTTGAATCCAATAGGCCATAGATATTCCACGTTTGTGTCGAGTTACGTACTTAAGGATACGGTAGTCGGTAGAACTCTTTCATTTCCTTGACTAATTTCTTTTTTTTTTGGTCCTGACTAATGTTTAAACCCTAGGGGCCATGATACAGGGGTTTATGCTTCGCTCCGCCATCAAACGGAATCGTCCTACATTTTCTTATTTTCGCGCGAATTTCTTTTCCTTCGTCATGGTCTTCATCTCGTTCCTTCTGAGGATTTAAGAAAATTCTGTACTCTTTAATCCGACCACAGCTCGGGATTCGAAATCCAGCCATGGCTGCTTTAAGGATTTCGTCCTGCGCAGCAGTGGCTGCCACCGTTGCTTCCCTCTCCGCATTTTCCGATCGTGCGTACGCCGACGGCCCGTTTCGTTTCTCTCCTTTCTCTTCGTCTTCTTCGACAGCTCAGCCTGCTCAAACAGCTAGTCCGAATTCGAAAGTCAAGGCGGCGGCCGAGGAGTCAAGAGGCAGTTCGTCTGGCTTCGATCCCGAATTGTTAGAAAGAGGTGCAAAAGCCCTTCGCGAAATAAACAGCTCTCCACATGCCAAACAGGTATTTGATATTCCTTGTATGAGGTTGTCTGGCTATTTTTCTTTTTGGACCTATAGTTAAATTCTTTTTTATCTTGCTTCTCACCTTTCTTCCTCATTGTTTGTTTTCACAGATTTTTGAAGTGATGAGAAAGCAGGAAGAGACTCGTCTGGCCGAGTTGGACGCAGAGAAAGCTCAATATCAAGCTATCCAAGCTCAGGCTGACATTGTGAGTGTTTTACATTTTAAACCGCTTGTTGAATTTCTGTTGCATTTGAACTTATATTACGTCTTTAAATACATCAATGAGAATGCTTAACGGCGTTATTATGCTAGAACTTTTTTGTTATTTAATTACTACTTTAAAGGTATTATGTTTCTATTTATCTGGATTCATTATATGCTTTTATTAACTAATACATTTTTTTCCCAACAGGATTGACTAATGCATTTAGTCTATAGAGTATATGAATTCATGATTGAATGATGCATTTATGCATTTTCATGTAGTTATTGGAATCAAAGCATTTATTTTTGTGAGGATCCCTTTATGACACCATCTGTCCATTTTTTGATTTGTTATGTCTTTGTATTAAGTCAGATAAGGCTTTCAAGTTTCACCCTGTTGAATCACTCAACTGTCATGACTTGACTTATCAGTACTTTTATTTCCATTGCGCAAACTAGATATGCAAAAATTGAATTTGTTTATCTATTGCACTGTTGTAGAATGAGATAATTACTCATTAACTGTTTCCCCCTTACAATCAGTCATTTGCATTGGCAGGAGAAGCAACGGAAAATGGCTGAAGAACAGAGGAATCTAATTCAGCAACAGGCACAGGCAAAAGCACAAATGGCTCGCTACGAAGATGAATTGGCTAGAAAAAGAATGCAGGTGGCTGTCATTTCAATCCTCAACCATAATAGGGAATTAGTCGGAGGTGTGGACAAATGGACTAGTAGCCAAGAAAATACTTGACCAAATTGAAGGAGATAGTGAATTGATATAATAATATTAGAAACATCGACCTTGCCAAGGAACATTTACTCGACTGAACTTATAATTTACTTGGCAAGATGATGAAGATGTTGGTTGCACCATTGATTGATTCTGAAGTTTTAATATAATTTGGCATATTTTTTTGAAATTATTGCTTTGATCAGGTCAACAGCAAGTTTAGAAGAATAGGCTATGGGTTAACACAATAATTCTGGGCATTGTTCATATTTGCATGCTATTAATTGGGCAAGACATTCTTCTGCCTGGTCTATCTTAAGTATGTCCTTCCATTTATCTGTTCTTCTTTTGCAGACAGATCATGAAACTCAAAGGCTACAAAATGCTGAATTGGTTAGAATGCAAGAGGAGTCCTCCATACGAAAAGAACAAGCTAGGCGTGCTACAGAAGAACAGATCCAAGCACAACAACGCCAGACTGAGAAAGAGAGAGCTGAGATAGAACGTGAAACAATAAGGGTAAAGGCTATGGCTGAGGCTGAAGGTCGTGCCCATGAGGCAAAACTGACTGAAGATCATAACAGGAGAATGCTTTTGGAACGGATGAATGGTGAAAGGGAAAAGTGGCTTGCTGCCATCAATACTGCTTTTAGTCATATTGAAGGTACACAAGGGCAGAAGTTTATAGCTGTATCTATAGCTGACTGAAAATAAAATAAATGATAAGCTGCTCTGGCCTCTGGGATGAATTATTTCTTGCATCATGATTCCTGTGGTATCAGTTCATCTGGTACAACTTGGTGATTTGTTCAACTGTATTGAAGTCACTGGTACCCATTTAAGTCACAAATCCTTTTAGCTGAAATCACATGGTATAAGCCTTATTGGATGAAGTCATGTGAATGATGAGATCAATGGTTTGTAACTCCAGTTGCTCAATATACTTGTCTAGTCTCATATTGGAGTTTGGTCTTGCCTGGTTGGCCTTTTTTGTTCGAGTTCTAAACCTCATCATTTTCTTGTTCTCAATGTTCGTCGCATTTAATGCTAGCATCAGATGCTTCTTTGAGTTAAAGATGCCTACAGATTGTGTCATAGTATTTTCTGAGTGTTGGAATTACTTATTATTTTCATCTCATAGTATTTTCTGATTGTTGGAATTACTCGTTCTTTTCATCTAATAGAAATTTACGTACTTACACTCGTGATCAGATTTCTAAATTTTCATGAGTGTTGGCATGGATTTAGGGATGATATTCTTTTGATCTTGATCCTAATTGTTGTTAATAATCTTAGTTTTAGTTACTTAGATTGGGACATGGACTGCACCTACTTGTATATTTGATCTAATGGTTTATCAGCTGTAATTTGCAGGGGGTTTCAGGATTTTATTGAATGACCGGAATAAATTGCTTGTGGCTGTTGGAGGAGCTACTGCATTAGCTGCTGGAGTTTATACTACTAGGTTCATAAGCTAATAATCTCATTGCATTTTTAATTCAATACCTTGTTATGCTATTATCTCGTGGGATTGCATGCCATAACTTAAACCTTGAAGGGGTAATTTCTGCCTGCACTGTAATTATTCTGCTATGACGAAGGTTCTTATTGGCCCTTGTTGCATCAAACTCTTCTAAAACCCTAAGAGAAAGTATAATCTCTATTTGTTCTATTAGCTTTTCATTTTTATCTTTTTATTTGGCCCGTAATTACCGAAGTGTCCTCATGTGTTTTAAACTTAAAAAACAATCTTTTTACATTAAATAATTCAATTGTCGTAGGTTTTTTGAGGCTTATGCCTTTCTACGCTTCATTCTTGAGGATTGAGGCTTATGCCTCTTTCTGACAAAGGCTTAAGTCTCAGACCAAAGTTATGAGGCTTAAGTCTTGAGGCAAATCTGAGCGCCTCACCTCAAGGTGTAAGCCTTTTAAAACCATGGGAAATACAGGTTTAAGGCAAAGCCATATTTATAATGTTCAATTTGGATTTTACTGTTTTCGACTTTTCATCCTCCATTTTCACAAGGTTTTTTTTTAATGGATAAAATGATAAATACAACTAAATATGATCCTGAGGTTTCTATTTTGTTTTTACAGAGAAGGTGCTAGAGTGATCTGGGGTTATGTCAACCGTATACTGGGCCAACCTTCTTTGATTCGAGAGTCATCAATTGCCAAATTTCCATGGTCAGGCTTACTTTCTCGAGGTGCTAATAAGGTGCTCAGTTACAGCACCACAGCTGGGGCAACAAGGTCATTGGAAAGTAAATCCAGTTTTAGGGGGATTGTACTCCACCCTTCATTGCAGAGAAGGATTGAACAACTTGCTCGGGCTACAGCAAATACCAAGTCTCATGAGGCACCCTTCCGTAACATGCTTTTCTACGGGCCTCCTGGGACTGGTAAAACTATGGTTGCAAGAGAAATTGCACGGAAATCGGTATTATGTTGACTTCTCATTTTTAACGTGCTCATACCATGGCATGCAATTGATTTATTTTTTATGTCTTTTCTTTTTACCATACATGGTATTTTGTGGAGCCTGTGAAGCAGGAGCTTCCATCTGATTTGGACCAGCCAAATGGGTGGAAGATAAAAAGAGAAGAAAGGGAGACATAAGCTAATTATCCATTAGCAATTGGAGAATTGATTGGGATATACTTGGCTTAGACCAACCTGAACCCATATGTATGGTCAGGTTCAACATTCAGTTAAGGTTAAGGTTAGGACATGTAAAGCCAAATTAAAATTGGTTTAGTTATATGGTTTATGACTTGGACAATCTAACCAAACCCAGATCTGATGTGTTGTATTTATATGTAAGGTTCAAAGTATTGATACAATACACCCTATATCGGGCATGTCGTATCGAATCTTTTGACTTCCAATACGCCTATTTAAAGGGAGTTTTGAGAAATCTTTTTTTTTTCTCTAATAGATGAAGTATATAAAATATTATAATTTTATGAGATTTTGAAAAGAAAAACTAAAAATTTAAAGGCGGAAGGTTTAAAGTATCAATACACCCCTTCTACTGTATCGGGGTGTTTTGATACTTTGAATTTTATCATATGTATACATGTTTTAATGCATATAACATTATATATATTTGTGCTGAGGGAGAAGAGTGGTGTTAGCTATGCCATTAATATGTGGTACATGCAGTGAATTTGAATACTACAGTCCCAACTTCTAGCCAACCTATCCATTGCAGTTTGTTCATTAAGTTTGGGCTGAGTAGTCAAATTAAGGATTGCATTGGTATGGTTAAGGTTGAACCAGAGAATTCAAAAAGACAAATCATGTGTTGGTCTAGGGTTGACACTAATCCCTGGAGTTGCATCCTGGAAACTGATGTAGGTTTGTCCAAGAGATCTAGAGTTTGTGGTTTTAAAACTCGGAGAATCAATAAAATTCCAAATAACTAGAAAACTTTATAGGAAGTTAGTTTTGAAGGTTAAAAATTAGTATTAACTTCTTCCCATTGGGTCTGAATAACTTTCTACAGGGTTTGGATTATGCAATGATGACGGGGGGAGATGTAGCACCTCTGGGCCCACAGGCAGTCACTAAAATCCATCAAATATTTGATTGGGCTAAAAAGTCAAAGAAAGGTTTACTACTCTTCATTGATGAGGCTGATGCTTTTTTGTGCGAGTAAGTTATCATCTACTGACACTTATTCTTTTTTATTCTTTATATTTTTCCTCAAATTTTCTTCTGGTAATTTTAAGTAGGTGAATGTTCTTCGGTGGATAGAGGGTACTTGATTAATTCTATAATGTATTCAAAGAGTTATTCAAGTAGAACTTAGTTTGTATAGGCAGTTCATAACAAGGCTGAGAACACAATGATGAAAAAAAAAAGAAAAACAAGGTTGAGATTTGAGAACATCAATTGGTGAATTATGAATTGACCAAAATGACTACCAGTCAATTATGCCCCTCAGAAAACATAAAATATCACATTCATACATGTCTTAAAGGACAGAACCAGTTTCGTTTTACAAAAATGTCTAGGAGAAATGGATATCCAGGTGTATATGTACTGTAGGCAATTATGTTCTTCAAGAAATATAAAATTCTACATTATTACATGTCTTTAACGGATAACCAGTTTCGTTGTATAAAAATGACTTTGAAAAATATGTGGATCTTTTTTTTGATAAATATGTAGTGATTTGGATCTTACAACCAAAGTTTCAAGGATTTATGCATGTATAGTATTATAAATGCAAGTTAGTTGGAATCTAACAAAGCGTCAGGTTTTCCAATATTCAAAAGTCCTACTTGAATTGAATACATGGAAGTTTTAACTTGTTAGTGGTTCATTTTTCTCAACAGATCGTGTGATTCATGTGTATGTACTTTCACAATTTACTTTTGATGGTATGATTATAATTGAGTAGATACTGGAGCTATATTGGTTCGCGAAACACCATATGATATGACTTCTATGTCATGCCATGTTGCTTGGTTTAGAAAGCTACGAAAAAGCCCATTTTGCTGGTTCTAGAACTAGCAAATGGGTTCCCACTGTGGCACGTTCATGAACTAGATGAAACACAAAAGGAACCATGAAACAAACGTACCCTTTATGTATGACAGAGATGATGGTTTCTATCCCATGCATAGTTTATTTGCTTGGTGAAGTAAAACAAGTGAACTCAGATGTTCTTTTTATGGTGTAATGCCAGGCGTAACAGCATCCATATGAGTGAAGCTCAGCGGAGTGCTCTCAATGCATTGCTCTTTAGAACGGGAGACCAGTCAAGGGACATAGTACTTGTCCTTGCCACTAATCGACCAGGGGATCTCGACAGTGCCATCACGGACCGTATAGATGAGGTTATCGAGTTTCCGCTCCCTGGGGAGGAGGAGCGTGTAAAACTGCTGAAGCTCTATTTGAACAGGTACCTCTCCAGTGGAGACAAGATTGAATCCTGGTGGGGATCTTTATTCAAGAAGAACCAACGGAGCATTACCATAAAGGATATCTCTGAGGATGTAATTCTTGAGGCTGCTCGGAAGACAGAAGGGTTCTCTGGTAGAGAGATAGCAAAGCTGATGGCAAGTGTCCAAGCGGCAGTCTATGGTCGTCCGGATTGCATCTTGGATTTGCAGTTGTTCATGGAAATTGTAGACTATAAGGTTGCAGAGCATCAACAACGAATAAAACTTGCAGCTGAAGGCAGTCAATTAGCCTAGAATTGCGTTTGTGCCAGATATTCTCTTTTAAGATCATTCACCCAACAGTGGCCTTTCAAACGCTCATTGGTTTCAATTTTGTTTGGCCAAGAATCAATTTTTTAGAATGTAGGAAATCTACACATGTTAAATGGGCTCCACAGGCTGGGGAATCAACGCATGGGCTATTGTGAATCTAGAAATCTTATTAATTCACCCGAAAAATAATCTCTCATATACACACAGCCGGACGACATGAACCGGGGCTCTGCTTCTGGCAATGTGGTCTGCATATAATCGAGCTGACTTGATACAGGGAACCACCTGAGTTGCAATGTTTTTTCTCTTTTTGTTTCATTGTATTAGCATGGAATAATTTTTTCAAATGGCATAGTTTCGGTTATATTTTTGCCCTCATTATTTTCCTACCCCTTTTCTTTTACATTAAAAAAGGTACTGCCTTTTTTTTTTTACAAAACCTTATATTTTGTATGTATCTATACTACATAATTTATATTTGTACTTTTTCCAAACTGAGCATCCCCGCTCAACATTTTTAATTCCAATATTGCAATATTATCTTTATTTATAACCTTGCATTTTCTTATAGGCCTAATCTTCCTTTGTTGGGTTTATAAACATTTCCTAACTTCCAACTAATAAATAATCTCACCTTTTTTCTTCTTCCCCTCAATTTTTTTTTTTGAATTTATTATTTTACCTAGTGTTGCTATGAAGAATTGGGGATTCGACTATAATGCCAAAAAGACAGTGATGCTGTTCAAATTGAGGTAGACCAGAGTAGACAAGTCTCACAACTTACAAAAGCTGGTGAGTTGTGTAGGATGAACTGACGAGAGTCCAACTTTCAGAGGCCAAGGTGGTTTCTCGAGGAGTCAGTTAGGTTGAGCTGTCGTACTTGAGCACAAGGTTCAAAAAATCATTATATATCGGCCCGTATAGACTGAAACGTATTGTATTGGGCCCTTTCCAATAGCCCCTATAGGGGTTGTATCGGGTCAGGGCCTGGTTCGGAGGTTAGCCAGGACTTAAACCGGTTCCTCTGAACTAAAATTGGAAAAAAAAGTGGAACTTAAAAAAAAAGGGCCAATACAACCAGCGTATGAACTAGTATCAATATTTTGAACTTTGCTTGAGCAGAGCTTAAAAACTTAAAAAAGCAGGAGAGCGAGAATTGGAGATGAAAAGCAGAAGAGAGAAATACTGAGTGGTGTGCCCTTAAATACCTGAGGGGGGATGTTGTGGTGCTCCTCACTTTTCCGGACAGTAGGCATGCATTGGGGTGGTCTTTCGCCAAGGTTCTAGGGCTGTTCCACACTCCTTGTCATGAGAGGCTATGCATAATTTTTCGTTCACACATGCCTCTCTTGGCCTGAGATAAGGTTCGAAATTTTGATACGTATTAGGCTATATCTATTGATATGAGCTTCCTGATACACCCCTCCATAAGGTGTTTCGGAATTTTGACCGGTTCAAGGGACGGATGGACCTTAAACCGGCCTCTTTAAATCAGATTTGAAAAAAAAGCTGTCGATACTGCCTGATGCGTTTCTACTGACGTATTCGGCGTATCCATATTTTGACACGTTGTAACCATTGCTTCTGATGGACAATGATGCTTTATATTGCCAATCTAGCTGAGTCCTATCCCTCTAGATTATCTTTCATTCTTTGTACACACATGTCAAATGTTTTTCTTGTGTTGCCGTTGAAAACAAATTAAAGTATATATGATTCTTCAATATTATCATTCTTCTGAAAGCTATTTTAAATAGCTTGTCCCGTTCTGAGTATTATTGTAAAATTATGGTATCTTTGCAAAAATGCTAGATAGTATCCTTAAGATGCCGTGCATTTTTTTTTTCATAATCCCAATTGTTATCTTGCATATATCATAAAATCACAAGCAAATTGTAGTGCAGTAACAATTTTTACCAATTTATTATATTATATTATAATTACTTATTTGGCGTTATTTGACTCAGCTTCTGTGTTTCTTGTTAATGTTTCAGCATAAATTATAAAATAGTGTAGATGGCACGTGTGAACGTATAAAGATATAAATTTATATTATAAAATTAAATTTAACTTTATGACCTGCAACAAAACCATGTCAAGTATACACTTTATGATAGTATAGACATGTATAACAGCAACGAGTTTGGATTTTTTATTTTTTTATTGAGGGGCCAAAACCTAGAAAACATGAATAAGGGGTTAAAAGCTACAAAACATGGGTAAGGGGATTAAATATAAGTAAAACTTAAATAGATTTTAAGAAAATTTTGAAGACATAAGGGGGGCCCTGGCTCCTCCAGCCCCTTGGCTCCCCCTGTGTAGATCGATGGAGCCTAGAGGATGTTTTGATCTTGTTCTTAAAAATATTTTCAATGCTTTTTAAATTTTAGGGCCTGTTTCTTTTTTTTTGGATTTTGAGAGGGGGAAAGTTGGTCAACGGGATTTTGCTTTCTATTGACCAAAAATCCCATGCTTATTTTTCAGATTTATGTGGGGACTAGGGAATGTTTATTTTTCTGTGTATCACTTACCTGGGTAAGTGATACCCATCTCTAAGGTGAATAAATAACTTTCCCACCTAAGGGAAAAGTTGCTAACACTTGAATGGGACAAAAATGCCCCTTTTAATAATGGATTTTTATGGCTAAAATAGTTATTACCAAGGTTTTAAATTTCGCAATGTATCGGTCGATACAGACCGATATCAATTTTAATTACATGGTTTTGTATCTTTCCGTTCATATCGGCTTTGTATTGGACCATTTTGGGTATGTATCGGTTGATACAACCCGAAACGCACACCAAATTTAATTTCCCTCTTCTTTTTAAATTTAAATTATCTCTTCTCTTTCTCATTAATATCAATTTTAATTAAGTCTTAAAGTTTGAGACTTCACTGAATGCTAATATAATTTAATTAAATGCTTATTTAAATTACCTTTGATTACAGCATTTAATATGTCATTAAATGTTATTTAAGTGAAATAACTTGTTAAAAATCACAAACCAAAATAACAAGTTTCAAACCCAAGTCATCTGATTATAACAATAATTAACTAACCATTATGCTAACCTTAATTACTTATTAAAATGACATGTTTTTTTATACTTAAAAGTAGTCTTTCTTGCCTTGGTGGATGTTTCCCAACAAATGCTATAAATTTGATTATTAATATTTATATAATAATAARATGAATATAAGTTATATTTATTTATTAAAAATTAAGGTATATATTAACTTGTATACATAATAAATATTAACTAATAAATGATTTAAAAAATATTAACTAATAAATATTAGTATATATATATACTCATATTTTAGTTATATTATTTTTTAATGGTTACTAATTATATACCGATACTTTATATAAATCATTAAAGAATAGTTTTTATGTTTAAATAAATTAGTTATACTCACATAAAACTCATTTTTATTATTGTTCATATTTTTAAAGATTTTATAGTGTATTCATGCGTATTTGGATTTTTTGTTCGTACCTATACGTTTCCAAAGTGTATCTCGATACGTCTCTTAAAATTACCTTTCCAATACACTTTGCATTTCCAATACTTTGAACCATGATCGTTACCTTATTTACCTAGAAAATAAAAGAACATGGATAAATGAACTTATTCGGATAAATATTTTTCAAAAAAAACTTACTCAGATAATAACTGCATTTACCTGAATAAATAACTTACGGAAAAACAAACAGCGCCTTACTCTACTTTCATTTCATTGAAGTTTTAACTATCCTTATCCATTTTATAAAATCTCATAATAAGAACCCAACATGTTAAGTTAAAATTTCAACCAATCACTTCAAATGCGTCACTGGCCTGTTCACTTGGTTTTCTCGCTCACTGAATTTAAGGAGTGATACACCACGTCCCTCTATTAAAAGATATGCATATAGCATGGTTTCAGCTCAAGTCGCCTAATAGCCTATGACCCAATGACTACATCTTAATTGCAATCTTAAGCCACTAAATTAACCTATGATAATAATAAAATAAAATAAATTTTATTAACTTTAATGTTTACATTCAATTCAAACAAATAACATATATTATCAATTTCAACTAAAAATTAAAAAGAATAATATTCGAAATTTGTATTTTATAAATTAATAGAGTAAATAATCTATCAAATCCATATTTATATAAAAATATTCTTTTTAATCTCAAGAATTTATACAAATAAAATAATTATTTTAGTAATTAAAATTTATAATTTTGCACATGATATTTGATGAAAGGTGATTTGGCACGACCTACTAAGAAGGGGCCACCTGGACGCGATCTGCTCGAAAGGTGACAACTCAGCCAAAGGAACCCAGTCCGCAACAATCGGAGCTTGGGCATTCAGTCACCTCGGCCCAAAAACCACCTCGGCATAGAGACACCTCGACACCCAATCCAGTTTGGGACTAAAGAACCGAAGTACCAGTTCGGAGCTAAAGAGTCGAAATGCCACGTAATCGACTCCAAAGGCCTCCCCAACGGACCCTGAATTTCTCGGGATCACGACGAGACTCATCCTAGCTTCACTTGAATCAGAGGAAAACGATAAACCTTATCAACTAACGCATTGCTCTCCTTCAAAATCGGAACATATCTTATCCGCACAGCTCGGAGATCCCGGAGCTCTTTCGTAAGGTCCATGACTACACTATACAAGGACATCAAACCCCAAGGTGATGCGTGATTATTTACTCACTAGCATTCAAGCATTCAAGTATTAAGCTCGCATCGACAGTATAGAACTGACTTAAGCATCGGAGCGTCCTCGTCGGGTTAGCCACCTCGGGTTCTCTGATCTATTATTTTGTAGCTTGGTCTAGCTCGCCGCGCAACTGGAGTTTGGATAATCTTCCAGCTAGGAGTATCTAGGTCGCGCACCATCAATTGGTGCCGTATGTGGGAAACGGTCGAAAGGTCATCCTAATCTCAGTTGCAGTTTTAGCTTTCAATTTATCCCAATGGGTTCTTCCAGCAACATTAGGAAAAGCATCGAGATGAACGTCACCGGGGGGCAAGATCAGTAATCAACCTTCCCTCAAGGTCCCACGGTATGTATTGACCAGTTTACTATTCCCCTTATAGCTTCAGGGGTCCCGTCATTGTCCGTACCACAGGGCACTACGCAAGTGAGCGTCCTTCTACCTCCAGTGGGCGTAACTTTCTTCGAGTCATCTGTGTTCCCTCCTGGAATCGGGCACTCCCAATTCCATGACCTCATTTAATGCGTTTGGACAATACAAATCCAGATGCAGCAGGTCCAACAGTTCCAATAGTATTAGCAATACTATCTGTACCAGTAGCATTAGCAGCAGTTCCCACCACTACAGCTGAACTAGCAGCCAATTCCAC